GAAGAAAGAGGGAAGAAAGAGAGAGAGAAAGGAGGAGAAAAGGAGAGAAGAAAAGTCTGGTTCGAATTAGGGAAAAAGTCACTCTCCCATTCGGCCAGACATGTTTTTATATTATTAATATAATGGAAAAGACACATGTGCCCTTATTTAAGTGAGGGACACTAGTTCTAATATAATATTACAGATCAGCAACCTCAACGTAAGTATAAAGACAGAAATACCCCTACATTAACAACATTCATTTTAATGGACACATTTTGATTAACATGATTCTCCATCCATTTTAAATTTAATTGCAAGTTCTTCAATTTTACAAGCAGTACCATAACTACTATTGTTTATATTGTAAGAAGACAAATTTTGTTTACGGGAAACATCTTATTCATTGTTCTCTAATTCAAAGTGTTACTCATATAAAGCATTAATTTGAATTGTGTTTACTATATTACATACTATTGACAGAGCTCTTTTCTGATCAATATGTTGTCTACTGACTTGAATTAATATTTCCAAAATGGTGTTTCTCTTGTTGTATCAAAATTAATTCATGGATAAGTCTTTATCTACAGCTTTTTTTATGTCAACCTCTAGGATAGCTTTTTGATCATTTTATTAGGACCAAAAATGGGTTAATAGTCATAGTGTCCATACAAGAAAGTTACATACGTTTACATGGCAAAAATACAGGTAAAGAATGATACTATCCCTACTTGGTGACTATACATATAGACAAAGAATAAAATGAGAACAAGAAAATTAGCAATAAATTGTTATTTAATGTGTCTCCACTCATATGTTCACTGTTAGAACCATATAATAAGAAAGCAAATACAAGATTGCTACTTCACTGCATTCTGACATTTATCCACAAATTATTTTGTATTGCAGCCTGACAGCTATCAAATCTAGCTTGTTTGAAATACCCAAATTTTGAAGAACCTAAAATTAGTTCTATGATTAGGATCTTTCAATTTTTTATTGAAATTTTAGTTCATATGTTGGTTCTTTCCTTTTATCATTTTTGAACTATATAAAAAGGTGACTGATTGGTAAAAGGAAGAAAAAAGAGGGAATAAATTGTTGTCCTGTAAGCATATATTAAGTACATTATGATGCACTTAATGGTACTTTTCCTGTAAGTACTAGGATATGATATTTGAAATTGCTCAATAGGAAATAGATTTCTGTAATTTGTGTATTATGGTCTGTTTAATCATCATCAGATGACCACTGCTTTCCTTTTACAGGTTGGTGCAGATGATAGTTCAGTCCTCGATCAAATAATTGATTCACTAACTTCTATTGCAAATCCAAGTGAAAAATCTGGAGTTTCTGACAAAGAAAAGAATAAGTTTTCTCTGAGGATTGGTAAGGTCCATGACTGTGGGCCTGAGAAGGGAGATGACTCAAAGAATGGGCCAGCTGTCCTAATTTTGGGTGCAGGCCGAGTATGCCGACCGGCTGCTGAACTATTAGCATCAACTGGAAGCAGTTTGTCTTGGCAATGTTTTGAAACATGTGTAGGCACTTATATCGAGGAAACTGAAGATGTTCAAGTTATTGTCGCCTCTCTCTATCTAAAGGATGCGGAAGAGGTATGCTTGTGGAATAAATAGAACAACATTCAATCTGTTTTATTGATGAAAATGCACTGTAGAGTTTTCAGCAATTCTGCCATTAATTACAGGAAACGAATTCAGTGCACATTTTCATGGGTATTATATATACGACTTCACCCATACGTTTAGCCATGCATGTATATGCAGTATGTATACATGTTCTGCACATTGGAGTAACAAGTAGTTTGTTCTACATTTCCATCAACTGCAATGCATATAGCCTAGCTTGTGAGATACATTATCAATCAGAAATAGCTCATAAGATACATCATTGTGATAGAACAAGAATTAGAAGAAATTGATATCTTTCTATTGAGAAAGTAGTACATATATATACAACCTTGTAGATACTAAAAAAGAAGAAAATCATACAGCCTTGCAGATACAAAAAAGGAAGAAAATCATACAGCCTTGCAGATACAAAAAAGGAAGAAAATCATACAGCCTTGCAGATACAAAAAAGGAAGAAAATCATACAGCCTTGTAGATACTAAATAGGAAGAAAATCAAAGAAAGAATAATTC